CTCCTGGACTCAGTTATTCATGAAGCACATGGCCAGGCAGGCTGGCTGAGAAACATTTTAAACTCTGCAAGTAGGCAGGGTAGTTTGGCAGCTGGCAAGTAAGTCTCTTGGCCACAGCCTGCTTCTGGCACTGCAGCCCTTTCCTGCCCCAACCCTCTACCCTCCTCCCCTTCTCCCCCCGCCCCCGCTCAAAATACCCAAACCCTCTGTCCCCCTCTTACTCCCATACTCCCTCCCAGATCTGGAACCCCTATCCCCTCCTACCTTTGGTCACATCCCAAACCCCTGCACCCTAGTCCCCTGCCCTAGGTCACAACTGCCTGCTTCATCCCAACTCCCTCCCAGACTCCAGTCCTTTACCCCAAGCTCCCTTCTGCACCCAACCTCCATTCCAGACCCCGCATCTTCATTAATATCATAGAAGAGTGCAGCCCTTGACCACTTTCCAAAATCATAAGTGCCCCCCCTCAAAAATGATTGCCCACCCCTGGGCCTAGGGACCCTATTCCTACCCATCCTGGCTACTAGCCATTGAGGGACCTAAGCTCCATGAATTTATCGAACTCTTTTTTGAACCCTGTTTATGTCCTAGTCTTCACATCAACTAGGAGGCTAGAAATCTCTCCTTGTGAGCCTTATGAGGCTAGGAGGCAGCACTAAGGGCTAATGACTGACTCCTGTCTAGGGCACTGGGTCAGTATAATTTTGGGGGTGGGTGCCCCATTTCCCTGGCTGGTTTCTCAGCATTGGGGAGGGGCGGGGGCAGCCAGGAGAAGCTGGGGCGTTGCCTAGTCTTCACATCAACTAGGAGGCTAGAAATCTCTCCTTGTGAGCCTTATGAGGCTAGGAGGCAGCACTAAGGGCTAATGACTGACTCCTGTCTAGGGCACTGGGTCAGTATAATTTTGGGGGTGGGTGCCCCATTTCCCTGGCTGGTTTCTCAGCATTGGGGAGGGGCGGGGGCAGCCAGGAGAAGCTGGGGCGTTGGTATGAGGAGGGGAGGGAGATGGCCTGGCGGGCAGAGGGCAGGGCTGGCGGGGGGCGGGGGAGGACACC